GAGAGAGAGAGAGAGAGAGAGAGAGAGAGAGAGAGAGAGAGAGAGAGAGAGAGAGAGAGAGCGAGTTGATTAAGGATTAAGTCATGAGACATTCTTGAGTGATAGCTCCCGTGGTTTTGGATAGACTGTGTAGTTATTTATGAGATCTTGTCAACCGGTCAACGGTGTGACGGACACACGGACAAAAGAAGATCCCTAGTGTTTGTGTTCCGCTATTCGCTTTTCCTGTGTATTCGTTGGTAGCCAGTCATGCAGAGTGCCTGGGAACTCGATGACAGACAGTGTTGCAGAGTGCCTGGGAACTCGAAGACAGACAGTGTTGCAGAGTGCCTGAGAACTCGAAGATAGACAGTGTTGCAGAGTGCCTGGGAACACGAGGACAGACAGTGTTGCAGCGTACCATCGACAAATGTTGCCAGGAAATGCTCGAAGATGTTCGACTAGAGTGGCAGTGTAAATTAATAACGGTTAAGCCTTAAATTGCATTATTCATTGAAGATGTTCTGCCACATATCACTTGTATTGTTGACAGTGACGTCCTGTCACACCTTAGGGGTGTTGTTGACAGAGCGTGTAGCTCTCGAAACCGGCAACGTGTAGTGGATCTGTTCTGTAAACAAAGTGATACCGACAGACATGGATATTGGTGTGTCCAGGTGGCTTTCCGACTCTGTGAACTTGAAGTGATCCCGTCGATATCCGCGCAGTGGATGACATGGATTAACGAGGAAACGCTGGATAGCTTTTTCTAATTGGAACCTTTCCTTATCACTTGGCGAGGAAGCCATTTGCTTAGCAGTTATGCAAATCAACCCTCCCTGCGAAGAGAAACAAAGGTTTAGTTTAGTATTATATATAATGTCTTACACGACTTGAAAGTTCAATGCAAAATTCAATGCAGATTTCCATGTAAAGTTCAATGCAGATTTCCATGTAAAGTTCAATGCAGATTTCCATGTAAAGTTCAATGCAGATTTCCATGTAAAGTTCAATGCAGATTTCCATGTAAAGTTCAATGCAGATTTCCATGTAAAGTTCAATGCAGATTTCCATGTAAAGTTCAATGCAGATTTCCATGTAAAGTTCAATGCAGATTTCCATGTAAAGTTCAATGCAGATTTCCATGTAAAGTTCAATGCAGATTTCCATGTAAAGTTCAATGCAGATTTCCATGTAAAGTTCAATGCAGATTTCCATGTAAAGTTCAATGCAGATTTCCATGTAAAGTTCAATGCAGATTTCCATGTAAAGTTCAATGCAGATTTCCATGTAAAGTTCAATGCAGATTTCCATGTAAAGTTCAATGCAGATTTCCATGTAAAGTTCAATGCAGATTTCCATGTAAAGTTCAATGCAGATTTCCATGTAAAGTTCAATGCAGATTTCCATGTAAAGTTCAATGCAGATTTCCATGTAAAGTTCAATGCAGATTTCCATGTAAAGTTCAATGCAGATTTCCATGTAAAGTTCAATGCAGATTTCCATGTAAAGTTCAATGCAGATTTCCATGTAAAGTTCAATGCAGATTTCCATGTAAAGTTCAATGCAGATTTCCATGTAAAGTTCAATGCAGATTTCCATGTAAAGTTCAATGCAGATTTCCATGTAAAGTTCAATGCAGATTTCCATGTAAAGTTCAATGCAGATTTCCATGTAAAGTTCAATGCAGATTTCCATGTAAAGTTCAATGCAGATTTCCATGTAAAGTTCAATGCAGATTTCCATGTAAAGTTCAATGCAGATTTCCATGTAAAGTTCAATGCAGGATTCAATGTCGAATTCAGTGTAGATGTCTATGTTATTACTTTTTAAATACATTTAAGTCTGGTGGACTCAAAAAAAACTTAGCTATAAATCCATCAATAATTTTATTCAACACTTGTCTTGAGGGAGAGGGGGGGGAGGGTATGAAACTGGATCTTAGGATAGTAAGTTAATGACCAGCGAATTAATTATGCACTGCTGGATACCCTGACAACCCCCCATCCCCCAAGGCAAAGGAACCCCAGCCTCCCCCACTCCACGCCCCTGGTCTTAACAGTCTTTACCAAAATAATGATGCGTAAAAAGAGCGCATCCATGATTTGGTAGGCAAATCAATCCACGAATTAAGTTCAGTAATTTGCCTGCGTCATCCACAGATGGATTCCTTTTTCCTGACAAGCAACATGAGTCAGTCTTACAACGGCTGTGAGGTGACCGAGATCAAGTAAGTGGTGGTTGTCCTTATCGTTAGCCCTAACTGGTTCATGGTTGACTGCGGATAGAGCTAACTGGGTCATGGTTGACTGCGGATAGCCCTAACTGGGTCATGGTTGTCTGCGGATAGCCCTAACTGGGTCATGGTTGTCTGCGGATAGCCCTAACTGGGTCATGGTTGTCTGCGGATAGCCCTAACTGGGTCATGGTTGTCTGCGGATAGCCCTAACTCGGTCATGGTTGATTGTAGATAGCCCTAACTGGGTCATGGTTGACTGCGGATAGCCCTAAATGGGTCATGGTTGACTGCGGATAGCCGAAACTATGTCATGGTTGACTGCGGGTTGGTGGGGTAATGTCACGTGCTAGTGCTCTCACAACCATGCTCAAATCAGTTGAGCTTCCTTGGCATTCACTCAAAGCGCTAGAGAGTGGCGTAGATTCTGTGATTTTTCTATGAACATAAATCACTGTCATTTAGTTCCGACCAGCCTCGGGTTCAAACCTTGATCACAAACCTCAAGGTTATTTTTTCCAGAGGAACTTTGAATGTCATTTTGTGTTAATATTTGGGTCTAAGAACTGTAACAACAATAAATTATTTGTGTGGCATTGGTTGTGTATTCCAGAAATGTCGCAGATGTCCCTGGATGTCAGTGCGTGTGGTCAAAGTAAGTATTCCTTTTCTTCCTGGTCAAATATAACATGAAGATACGTCACAGTGTCGAGCAGCAAAGCGTCTACATTTTAATGGCATCTTCTGTTTTGTAATCCAAGAAATTTATTCAATAGTTGTAATTATCATAGTTGTTGTAATAATCATAGTTGTATTTATCATAGTTGTAATTATCAAAGGTGCAATCATTATGACTGTCATTATCATTGTGGTTTAAAAGCCGAAGTACAGTAATACTTGAATGACGTCACATTGATTATTTATGGACTGGATATTTCCCCGACACTTCCTGTCTGACTGACACACACCTCTTATATAACAGTTAATCTGATTGGTTAGAAATGTAACTGCTCCTATCTATATTGATATAGTTTTCCACTAGTCGATCTATTTCATCTGATTCCTAGAAATAATTCCCATACATAAGTTAACGTCATTAAAAAAAATAATCTTAGCTATTTTTTTTTTTTTTTTTGGACTGAATTCACCAATCACCTTTTTTTAAGATCCCCTGGCCATTCCGTGATGACGTCTGACCGGATGTGACGTATATTTTCAGTGAGGGCAGTCTCCTCGTCAACTACCCACTGTACTTCAATATAGTTTTCCACTAGTCGATCTATTTCATCTGATTCCTAGAAATAATTCCCATACATAAGTTAACGTCATTAAAAAAAATAATCTTAGCTATTTTTTTTTTTTTTGGACTGAACTCACCAATCACCTGTTTGTAAGATCCCCTGGCCATTGCGTGATGACGTCTGACCGGATGTGACGTATATTTTCAGTGAGGGCAGTCTCCTCGTCAACTACCAGCTGTACTTCAACGGCACACATGACAAGGACCGGGTCCGCTGGACGGTCCAGGACGTCATCTACCACGGGGCCACCAAGCACTATGTGGGGGCGATGGCGTATGTGCTGATCAAGGACTTCTTGGTGGACATCAAGGCCAACTGGAAGCAAGACTTTGGTTGGTTCATTTGATAGGGAATGCGCGAATACGAGTCCTTGGCACTTTAACAGCTGTCTACATAGAAACATAACTGTGGTCTACTCTATTTGATAGGCAATACATGCACTCTACTCATTGTGTTATGTTCTATGCAGAAAGTTTTTAAATTATTTTCTTTTTTTTAAAAAATAGGGAAATGAAAAAATACCATGAAGGCATATAGAAAATAAATATTATAAAGATACAAAGAAAAAAATTATAAAAATTGAAAGAAAAAATACTATAAAGATAGATCTATAAAGAAAAAAAAAGATATAGAGAATATTAGACATGACTTTTTTTTCTTCTTGTATCAAACAGAAAATTTTCTGTATAGGGGTTATTTTTCTAAGATGAAAAATCTTTTTAGCAAGTCACTGTGGCATCAAATATCCGATGTAGGTGAGCCAGGCATCGGTTGGCGCGCGTGCATGATGTAAGATTATCTTATTTCGTTCCACTGTAAGATCATATCAATCCAAGACGAGGTCTCTTAGCAGGAACCTGGAGGTCTTGAGCAGGGACCTGAAGGTCTTGAGCAGGGACTTGAAGGATCTTTGCAGGGACCTGAATGTCTTGAGAAGGGGCTAAAAGTCCTGAGCAGGGGCCTAAAGGGCTTTGTAATCGATCATCATAATTTGAGTATCGTACTCGTTATTCTTATTTCTGTCAAGGTCACATTCTGTATTGAAACGTTTCAATGTCATCAACAGACGGGATAGAGGCGGACCTGACGATCCCTGTTTTCAACTTAAACCACACAGCCGGCCTGAAGGACAGGCTGTCTAAAGATTTCATAGACCTGGCTGCTCCATTCTGCAACGATGTGAGTAGATAAAGACTTCATTGTACATGCATTAACTTATGAATGATAAAAACAAACACAAGTTTTAACAATATTTTCTAAAATTATCCTTGATATTACACGAGTAATCAGTCAGATTTAAAATCACAAGATGAGGCTTTGAGATTATTTATTGCGCTCTCTCCAAGGCCAGCAGAAAACAATCAGTACAAATTAGCGTTGGGAAAAAAAAGGGGGTGTGGGGTATCTGTACCCTAGCACTCTGAGAATTTGGAGCCTCTCTATTGTTTTTAAGTATCATATGTGATGGATAGCGTCAAAGCTGCATGCAAGAAACCTTGGAGCGATATATGTTCATTGACATCTTCTAACATATAAGTTTATTAAATTTCTAATTCTTCTTAATTCGTAGTTTCTTGTTTTGTCTTGTCTGCTGGAGAGGGCGTCTTGCCGGAACGTTCTTTTAGATAGTCACAATTTAAAAGAAAATAAAGTTAAATTTTTAAAGGTTTCACAGTTTAAAATCATAAATGATTGGATGGTAAGAACACAAAAATGGCTTCAAACATTTCCTTATCAGAAGATGTTGACTTGTAGTCTAACTTACATAAAAAAATCAAATAACTGACATCGTGACTAACTAAATATAATGGTCAATTATCATCATGGTTAACTCATAACATGGCCATCTAATATCATTGTCAACTATTACCACGAACAAAAAATAGTATGGGCAACTTTTATTATGGCCATCTGGTATCGTGGCCATCTGGTATCATGGCCAAATGAAGTCATACAATTGTTGTCTTCATGACCCATTTGTTATCTTGTTTAGCCTACCGCATGATCGGTTGAAATCAAAGACAAATTTAAAAATGCCAACAAATAACATTCGTATATCATCTATTTGTATGACAGGTCGGTCAAATCTTAACAAGGAGGAGCATTAGCAGTTTCGCTGACAGGTATTACTCATGCGAGGTCAGAGGTTTCAGGTAATAGAGTCATTTTTTTTATTTAGAAAAAAGCTACATCTAGACTAAATAATATTTAATCCCACTAACTGTTTTGGGCACACTCGTGACGTAGCTCATCAAGACACAGGGGTAGGGGGTAGGAAGGGGTGTGTGCGGAGGGGGTGGTACACCATGGGCGTCACTTTTTTTTCTTTATAATGGAAGGGGGGAGGCTATTTCGGCAAAAATGCAGAGTTCTTTTTAAGGAAGAGGATTTAAAAATGTTGCCCCCCCCTACCCCCAAACCGAGTGTTACCAACCCTAGATATGCCACTGGTAAGAGAAACCATATTGTGTTCCAGCAGATTAGCATTGATCAAATTGGAATTTAGGGGAGGTTGGTTCTGTCGTGGTGTAGTCAAGAACTTTGGACAAATCAACGTTGCGTACAGACAACAGACGTTGAAATTCTGCTTCTCTCGAAACAATGTTCTGTCCAGAGAAGTCTGCGCGTTCATAATTGGTGATTAAAAAATTAAGACAACCCTAGAAATGAATCACCAAACAATGACGGGCGGCAATGCGTGAACGTCCCGTCTGCGCTAAGTCAATGACGGGCGGCAATGCGTGAACGTCCCGTCTGCTTTGAGTTACTTGACACAACATGAACTCTAGTAACCCACTTTATAAAAATCCCACTTGGTGCTAAAGTCTGGCAATTTTATTTTGCGCACATTTTGAACGCAGCGTTACTGCCAGACATACATACCAAGAAAGTTGTTGTTTGGGACAATATTAACTGAAAGAAAATGAACAGCAACATTTCTGCTGTTCTTGCTGTTTGGGGTTTTGCTGTAAATTTAAAACAAAACATTCAAACATGACTTTTTAGCATTTTAACATAAAAGTTAACTTGAAACTTTTTTAAAGTTAACTTCATTTTGGAAGGTCTAGCCTTAACTTTCATAACTCTTTCATTTCTTCTTCTTCTATATCTTAAGGGCCCACGATAAATTTATTGATCATTTTGGCTCCTATGCATGTAGATGGGATTTGCAATGTTTCTGTTATTGGTGTTGATGAGGAAATCATGCACTAGGGGTTTGAAGGCTTGAGGCAATAGACACAACAGTAACTTCCCTACACTGAATTCGTCTTTCCTACTAAACTTAGCCTTAAATTTCTGATTGCTAACATGCCTAGCCTTAATTTGGAGACCCCGAATGTACCGAATCGGTCCTTGCTCCACAACCGTCATATTATCACTTGATTTAACCTGTACATTATATGTTGCTCTATGTTGTAAAATATGTCTTTTGAATGAATAAATACAAGGCAACTTTACATCGTGGCATGTGTTCATAAAGGTCAATTTAACACCACAGCTCAAGGCCTGACCGGATCACGTTCCAGGTCCACCTGACAGGCCAACAGTGGCGCAGCGTACAGAAGACTCTGCCGTACGTTCTCATGTTGGGCGCAAGGAATGCTACGTTTCATGGCCAGGTCAGGCAAGCATTCTTCAAGCACATAACTAAAGCATGATCATTAATCAGGACATCCAGAGATTAATCCGTGAACGTCCCATCAACTAAATTTACCTCACAAAATAATCATTCAAGTAACGCACTTGATGCGAACTCCAATTATTTCTCTCCCTCCCCCACCCTGGCCCGAAGCCACTTTTTCGCGCCCCTAAACTATATTAATTTTGTAACGGCCCACACACCCGCTTTCACACCCCAGGTTTATTTCACAAACTATTTCAAGAAAAAAAAAAGAAAATATTACGCACCAAACGCACCTGCGATATCTTGTAAGAATCTCATTGAGTTATCGGGAATTTTATTTTCCACCCTATTAACTTCACAATTACACCGCACTTCTTTCATGCATGGAGATTGGTATGTATTGATTACTTGATTACTGGACTGAATCAAACACATTGTATTTTCTGTAATCTCATTGTAAAGTTACAGTTGCTGTCCAGGAGTACTTGTTGCTGTCCATGACAGCCTGGACTGTCACGCTGTTCCAGAACTAGATGTTGATGAATGCGAACTCCTGTGGGTGAAGGTGAAGCTGAAGGGTAGACGCACACTTTACGTGTGTGCCTATTACAGGCCCAACACAGCAGATGAACCAAGCCTGAGGAGGCTTGATGTGTCACTTCAGAGAGCAATGCAGTCTAAGAACGTTTCTCTCCTTATAGGGGGAGATTTCAACTTTCCTGGTTGGAACTGGCAGATTCCTGCTTTGAAGCCCAAGTCCCCTTACCCGGCCCTACACTCTGAATTCATGGAGATAATTAACAACCATGGTCTGGAACAGATGGTTAAAGAACCCACGAGAGGGGAAAACACTCTCGACCTACTCCTCACTAACAGTCCACATCTCATCCCAAGAGTAGAAGTCATCCCCGGAATATCAGACCACTGCATACCGTACTGCGAATTTCAAGTCAGCGTGCTAAAAAAGAAACAGGCTGTGCGAGAAATCCCCATTTATGCAAAGGCAGACTGGGATGGCCTGAGAAGTGCAATGACTGAGCTGAGTTCAAACATGCATGAGATTCAGGGTAATGCGACAACAGAAGAGCTGTGGATGAAATTCAAGACAACAATCACTGATGCAGTGATGAAATTCATACCACACAAGACCTCAAAACCTAAGACAAATCAACCATGGGTTACGGCTGAAATCCAAAGGCTCATACACAGGAGAGACCGCCAGTACAAACGTATGAAGAAGAATGGGTCGGTCGAACTAAAAGCCGAAGTACTGAGGCTCCGAAGAACCATCCAACGCTTACTGCGCAGATCCTACTGGAACTACCTGAACGGCATCTTCTCAGAGGAAGATACTACCGCCAAGAACAAGCGGTTCTGGAGCTATGTCAAGCATCAAAGGTCAACAAACATCGGAGTTTCCCCCCTGAGATGGGAAGGCAAGTTGACGTCTGAACCCAAAGAACAGGCGGACATACTCAATCAACAGTTCCAGTCGGTCTTTGGGGATGGTAGAGAGTACTCAGAAGTTGAGTTCCTGCTGAAGACCAAGATGATGAGCACAGCCTATCCCACCATGGAAGATATCAAGATCTCAGAGAAGGGTGTGCTGGAACTTCTTAAAAGCATTAACCCCTACAAGGCATGTGGTCCTGACAACATCAAGCCACGAGTGCTAAAAGAATTGGCCGAAGAAATCGCTCCTGCATTAACAATCCTTTTCCAATCGTCGCTATTCACAGGCAAAGTTCCAACTGACTGGAGAACAGCGTATGTCACTCCGATCTACAAAAAAGGAGAACATTACGACCCAGCCAATTACCGCCCTGTATCCCTCACTAGCGTAGTATGTAAACTATTGGAACACATAATCGTAAGCGCGGTCATGAATCACCTGGAGAGAAATAATATACTCAATGACTGTCAGCATGGCTTTCGAGTCAACAGATCATGCGAGACCCAACTCCTTGAATTTGCTGAAGAGTTGACGACCAACTTGGAGAACAGCAAGCAGACTGATGTGCTTGTGCTGGACTTTTCAAAAGCGTTTGACCGTGTCAACCATAGCTTGCTATTGCACAAACTGCATAGATATGGGATCCAAGGCACTACCAAAACATGGATCTCTAGCTTCCTCAGCGACCGATGCCAGGCAGTAGTGGTAGATGGCAAAACCTCCTCCTTTGTCAGTGTTAAGTCAGGGGTCCCCCAGGGCTCAGTGCTAGGCCCTTGTTTGTTCCTAGCATATATCAACGATCTGCCCGAGAAGCTGACCTCTCAAGCAAGACTGTTCGCAGACGACACGGCGGTATATAGGACAATCGTCAACAGCTCTGACCAGAGCCAGCTTCAACAAGACCTCAATCGGTTAGCTGAGTGGGAGATAAGCTGGGACATGGAATTTCATCCCGTCAAGTGCCAAACCCTGTCAGTCTCCAGAAGCAGGTTCCCTCTAAACCACTCTTACGAACTGCATGGCCATATTCTTGAGCCAGTTTCCTCCGTTAAGTACTTGGGTGTTACCATCCAAAGAGAGGTCCGCTGGGACGAGCACATTAACAGTGTGTGCAACCGGGCAAACAAGACCCTGGGGTTCCTAAGGCGCAATCTGAAGATCGGCAACTCAAGCGTGAAAGAAAAAGCCTATAAAGCCTTTGTCCGACCTATTTTAGAGTATGCTTCTACAGTCTGGGACCCATTTACCCAGAAAAGCATAGACAGGTTGGAGGCGGTCCAGCGACGGGCAGCACGCTTTGTCATGAACCGCTACAGAAGCACCTCGAGTGTTGGCAGCATGCTGGAAACACTGGGCTGGTCGACATTGGAAGAACGACGACGACTATCCAGGCTCACCATGTTGTACAAGATAACAAATGGACTGGTGCACTGCTCCGGAATCAAACAGAAACTCGTTAATCTTCCCCCCAGACTGCGACGAAGTCACGACAAACAGTTCCGGCTGGTAAAAACAAGAACGAAGTACAGAAGCTCCTCATTCCTGCCGAAGACAATAGGGGACTGGAACAAGCTTCCAAAAGCAACAGTTGAGGCGGCTACACTCGATACATTTGTGTCTATTGCCTCCTGTATTCCAACCCCCAGTTCATAACACCACTGCTGAGTCGCCCTTGCAACCAGTGAAGTATCCCATTGAAACCCATGGACAGTAACATCGCAAACCTCTCTGAAACATAGGAGCCAGAATGATCAATTCATTGATCGTGGGCCCTTAAAATAAAGAAGAAGAAGACATCACAAAGATTCTTTAAAAAAAAAATATAATAAATATATCAAATCCAGCCATTCAGCGCCGTCAATCCATGTTCTCTACTGTGAAAACAGTAAAGAAAGCAGATTAAAAATTAGATTCGGTAGACAATGTTGAAAATAATAATTTTCGCGATAGAAATCTTTCTTCTAATCGGTGTTTTTCGCAAGTACTGATTCACGATTTCCATCACCAAGGACTTGTCTTTTTTTTTAAATTTTTTTTTTAAAGATTTAGTAAAGTCATGTTAAAAGTTAGGCAACTTTCCCCCACAGCCCGTGAAAATGATCGGCCCCCTGGTCGTCACGCCGTACAACCTGGACTTCGTCCTCAAACCGCACAACGTCACCAAGACCACGGTGCCGGCGACGACACCACCGACAACCTCCACCACGACGAGGAGGACTACAACTACAACTTTACGTAAGACGTTGCTGACACTTTCATGGAAGGTTCTCAAACTATCAAGATAATTTCACGAAATATATTGATGCTGTTATTTGTAAACCACCCCCTCCCAACCCATCCCAAACAATGCAGCTTAAAGCAGTGAACAATAGTTTTTACTACATTTCCTACCTGCCCCTCTTTTAAACCAAACTTTGAAAACAATATTTTTCAGATATAAATTTAGAGATATATGACTTTGATGTTTTTATTCAAATTAGGGCTTTTGATTTACCAAAAAGTCTAGTCACTTATCAGCCCTGAGGTAATTGTGAAGTGACTTTTATGTTAATTCACTTGAAAAAAAAGTGAATTACCCATAATACTTATATTATGATAATGTTTGTTTACAGTCGCACACTTTCCCAAAGCCCATATCACCTTGGTGTCCCTCACTAGCGTAGTATGTAAACTGTTGGAGCACAGAATCTTAAGCGCGGTCATGAATCACATGGAAAGACACAATATACTCAATGACTGTCAGCATGGCTTTCGAGTCAACAGATCATGCGAGACCCAACTTTTTGCATTTGCTGAAGAGTTGACGACCAACTTGGAGAACAGCAAGCAGACTGATGTGCTTGTGATGGACTTTTCAAAAGCGTTTGACCGTGTCAACCTTAGCTTAATATTACGCAAACTGCAGAGATATGGGATACAAGGCACTACCCATGGATCCCTAGCTTCCTCAGCGACCGATGCCAGGCAGTAGTGGTAGATGGCAAAACCTCCTCCTTTGTCGGTGTTAAGTCGGGGGTCCCCCAGGGCTCAGTGCTAGGCCCCTGTTTGTTCCTAGCATATATCAATGATCTGCCCGAGAAGCTGACCTCTCAAGCAAGACTGTTCGCAGACGACACGGCGGTGTATAGGACAATCGTAAACAGCTCTGACCAGGACCAGGTACAACAGGATCTCAATCGGTTAGCTGAGTGGGAGATGAGCTGGGACATGGAATTTCATCCCGTCAAGTGCCAGACCCTGTCAGTCTCCAGAAGCAGATCCCCTCTAAACCACTCTTACGAATTGCATGGCCATATTCTTGAGCCAGTCTCCTCAGTGTTATTATTCAAAGAGAGGTCCGCTGAGACGAGCACATCAACAATGTGTGCAACCAGGAAAACAAGACCCTGGGGTGCCTAAGGCGCAATCTGAAGATCGGCAACCCAGGCGTGAAAGAAAAAGCCTATAAAGCCTTTGTCCGGCCTCTTTTAGAGTACGCTTCAACAGTCTGGGACCCATTTACCCAGAAAAGCATCGACAGGTTGGAGGCGGTCCAGCGACGGGCAGCACGCTTTGTCATGAACCGCTACAGAAACACCTCAAGTGTTGGCAGCATGCTAGAAACACTGGGCTGGTCGACATTGGAAGAATGATGACGACTATCCAGGCTCACCATGTTGTACAAGATTTAAAAATGGGCTGGTCCACTGCTCCGGCATCAAACAGAAACTCGTCCATCTTCTCCCTGGACAAGAGCTCCTCATTCCTGCCAAAGACTATAAGGGACTGGAAAAGCTTCCAAAAGCAACAGTTGAGGTGGCTACACTCGACACATTTGTGTCTGTTGCCTCCTGTCTTCCAACCCCCAGTTCATAACACCATTGCTGAGTAGCCCTTGAACCCATAGAAGTATCCCCTTGAAACCCATGCACAGTGACATCGCGAACCCGTCTGAAACATAGGAGCCAGAATGATCAATTCATTGATCGTGGGCCCTCAAGACAAGGAAGAAGAAAAAGAAGTCATCATCACATCACATCATTAAATTATGGCATCATCAAACAACTTAACATGACAACAGCACATCACATCTCATCATTGACACATCATCTCATCACACCGTTATTTAACATGACATCATTTCACACAACTATATATTTATTTCTGACGCCAGCCCCTGCACTCTACTTACAATAAAATGTTAACTTTTGTTTACATTTCCTTTGAACAGCCGACCTTATCTACATCTACGCCATACTGCCAACATACAATCTGACCTTGACCCCAGACCTGCGCGACCCCAACTCGAAGGCCTTCATGGACCTAACCTTTGCCTTCTGCAAGGATGTGAGTAACTGAATGCATGCTCTTGCCTCACCATCCTTGGTAATGCCGTGATCTTGTCTCACCACTCTTGACAATGCCATGATCTTGTCTCACCATTCTTGGTAATGCCATGATCTTGTCTCACAATTCTTGGTAATGTCGTGATCTTGTCTCACAATTCTCTGTAATGCCATGATCTTGTCTCACAATTCTTGGTAATGTCGTGATCTTGTCTCACCACTCTTGACAATGCCATGACCTTGTCTCACAAATTTAGTTCTGCCGTGCTCTTGTCTCACTATTCTAGATAATGTCGTGATCTTGTCTCACAATTCTTGGTAATGCCATGATCTTGTCTCACAATTCTTGGTAATGTCGTGATCTTGTCTCACCACTCTTGACAATGCTATGATCTTGTCTCACCACTCTTGACTGTGGCGTATGCTATTCGGACATTTATAAGACAACTAACATTTCCTCTTTAAAAATCTAATTTTCATCTGTTTATAAAAATTGCATAAACATAAGATGACTAATTCGTCGAAAAACCGTCTCCTTTTATTATGTCTTGTGATTAATTTTTAAACAGAGAATGGAAATCATTTACAAATCTCTATATATAGCGCTCATTCGGACAACTTGCGGGGCAGCGTATGTTTGTCATTGTCACTGGTATGAAATAAATGAAGTCTCGTACAAGCGATTCGCGCGATAAAACGGTTGACCTGCAAATCTGAACCTACCACACATTTTGTCTTCCACAGCTGGAGCGGCTGTACAACAGGAGCATCTATGGACGTCGGTTTCACAGCTGTAAAGTTCATTCTTTTCGGTAATGTCATTCATAAATGATGGGCTTTTTGGTAATGTCTTTCATAAATGATGGGCTTTTTGGTAATGTTTTTCATAAATGATGGGCTTTTTGGTAATGTCATTCATAAATGATGGGCTTTTTAGTAATGTCATTCATAAATGATTGGCTTTTTGGTAATGTCATTCATAAATGATTGGCTTTTTGGTAATGTCATTCATAAATGAAGGGATTTTTGGTAATGTCATTCATAAATGATGGGCTTTTTACTAATGTCATTCATAAATGATGGGCTTTTTACTAATGTCATTCATAAATGATTGGTTTTTTAGTAATGTCATTCATAAATGAAGGGCTTTTTGGTAATGTCATTCATAAATGATTGGCTTTTTGGTAATGTCATTCATAAATGATGGGCTTTTTAGTAATGTCATTCATAAATGAAGGCCTTTTTTGTAGTCATTCATAAATGATGAGGGTTTTTGTAATGTCATACATAAATGATGGGCGTTTCAGTAATGTCATTAATAAATTATGGGCTTTCCCTCAACGCCATTCGTAAATGATGGACTTTTTTGGCTATGTCATGTCATTTATAAATGATGGGGAAAATGAACTAAACTATAAGATTTAACATTAAAAGTATTTCATTAAACATGGTTGATAATGATTTTAAAAAAAAAAATATTATTAAAAGGCTACACCAATGATCGTTTAAATTGTTTGCTTTAAAATGGGGACGTCATGCTCAACGCCATGTTTGCTTGTTGCCAGGGGCGACCCCGCCTCCGTTGTGGTCAGTGTGGGCTACGTGGGCGAGGAGTGGCCAGGGATGGACGACAGTGTCACGTGGGTGATCCGCAAAAACGCGCCGAGCTATTACTTTGGCCTGAAGGAGGTGTACCTGGTGGGGTCTCTGTACCTGGTGCTAGGCGAGGTCACAGGTGAGTGAGCTGTTAGGTGGGGGTCACAGGGGAGTGAGCTGTAGGGCTGGTTTTAACGATAAACACTCTATCTTTTTCGATTATTGAACACTCTGTGGCGAATAGAACGTCCTCTAAGAGTAGGTCCCCTCCGTATGGCCACAGAATATCACGTCCTCTAAGAGTAGGTCCTCTCCGTATGGCCACAGAATAGAACGTCATCTAAGAGTAGGTCCCCTCCGTATGGTCACAGGATAGAACGTCCTCTAAGAGTAGGTCCCCTCCGTATGGCCACAGGATAGAACGTCCTCTAATAGTAGGTCCCTTCCGTATAGCCACAGAATATCACGTCCTCTAAGAGTAGGTAACCTCTGTATGGCCACAGAAACAATAAGAGTCTAGAGCTCCGTTGCTGTCTCCTAGCCCCTACAAGACTGATGTGGAGTGTCAAGTCAAATAATCACGAGACTGTTTAAAATGGTCAGTATTATTTAATGATTGATATACTGTGCAAAACACAGTCCACAACAATGAGTAACTAGTAATAGCTGGCATTCACAATAGAAAGCAAGAACTTAATGTCACAATAGAAAGCAAGAATCTAAATTGTCCACAACACTAAGATGAACTCAAATCATCAAAATGAATAACTCACTCCTACATTAAAAATGAAAATAAAAAAAAACATGTGTTCTGTTCTGTCGCTCAACAAATGTACACAGCTTTTTTTTCCTTACGTGTTTTTTTTCCAACACACCGTCATAGAACATAGGTCATACGCCGATACGCCATAGGTCGTAGGTCATAGGTCATACGTGGCTGAGTAAAATTCTTGTGGTAAAAGGGGAGATAACTAAGGCAAAAAAAAGACACCATCGCTCACTCACACAGCATCACAACCAGACACGGAACTACATCACGTGATCTTACTGTGACGCACTTGTTGTCGGAAATGTAGAAGGAATCAGACAGTGGGGGAGATACTTCTCATCGTTTTCTTTAAGTTGTTGAGTGTTGAGACGATCTATTACTACTGCTGGGTCACATTTTAGTAAATAACATAGTGGAGCATCATACGATTTGGCTTGAAAAAAACCCAAAAAAAAACATGAAAATTAAAAGGATGTTTCGGCCAAACGCCTCCGTTAAGCAGGAGGAAAAAAAAAAAAGAAATACATTATTTGACATTGAAAAACTCAAGTGTCCCCAAATCACAATGCAACTCTCTCAGCAAGAATGTTACACAACCAGTTTCGAAGACGGATTAAAGGGCTGAGTGTTGAGACGATCTATTACTACTGCTGGGTCACATTTTAGTAAATAACATAGGGGAGCATCATACGATTTGGCTTGAAAAAAACCCAAAAAAAAACATGAAAATTAAAAGGATGTTCCGGCCAAACGCCTCCGTTAAGCAGGAGAAAAAAAAAAAAGAAATACATTATTTGACATTGAAAAACTCAAGTGTCCCCAAATCACAATGCAACTCTCTCAGCAAGAATGTTACACAACCAGTTTCGAAGACGGATTAAAGGGCAAATAATTTGAGTAACCAAAAAAGCTGTCGCAAATCTGGGTATGTTTCCAATGGACCTATTCTCAAAAATGTGTCTTTAAAATATCCCACCCTAGTGTCTGCCCAAAATTACCCTAGTGTCTGCCACAAATTACCCTAGCGTCTGCCCAAAATTACCCTAGTGTCTGCCCAAAATTACCCTAGTGTCTGCCCAAAATTACCCTAGTGTCTGCCCAAAACTCAACCATGACAGATAGGATGACACTCATCTGGGTAATCTTCAAATATTTTCACACTCATGTGACGTTTTTTTTTTTAATTACTTTTCTTCAGCTAATGGCCTTGAACTGCGTACAAACCTCAGGGTCATGAACTTGACCTATTCTCATGACCTTTCAGACCAAAGGACGGCGGCATTCCAGTATCACGCTCATCTGTTCTGCGAGGACGTGAGTACCCACCCCCCTCCCAGTCCCCCCCCCCTCTTTTTTTTTTACACAGGCACACTTGACCTTTTAGCCGTAAATTTCTAATTCATCTACTTTTCCTTGTTGTCACAAACCTATTAATTTGAGACCCTCTCATTTTTTTAGCATTCATTCCCTGAAATATTTAATTTGGGTTACTGGAAAGCGTTAGAGAGAAGTGGTTCTCAAAATCTTTATTGATAAACGAATGCTTATAATATCATTTATCGTTTAAAATTTTTTCCAACATTAAATTGTGATATGTAGCCGAAATGTTTTATTATGAACTGATTTAAATCACTGACATATGTCATGAACTATCATGTACTTAACTTTGATGTCATTTTGTACCTAAACTTTGATGTCACTTTGTAACTAAACTTTGATGTCACTTTGTACCTGAACTTTGATGTAACTTTGTACCTGAACTTTGATGTCACTTTGTACCTGAACTTGATGTCACTTTGTACCTGAACTTTGATGTCACTTTGTACCTAAACGTTGATGTCACTTTGTACCTGAACGTTGATGTCACTTTGTACCTTAACTTTGATGTCACTTTGTATCTAAACTTTGATGTCATTCTGTACCTAAACGTGAATTTCTTTCTGTATCTAAACTTGTATTTTATTCTGTATCTAAACTTGTATTTTTCGCTCGAAGCTCTAAGCAATCACTTGAGTTGAGAAACATTACAAGAACCACGCTTGATTGATTTCAGTAAGCAATCACTTGAGTTGAGAAACATTACAAGAACCACGCTTGATTGATTTCAGTAAGCAATCACTTGAGTTGAGAAACATTACAAGAACCACGCTTGATTGATTTCAGATGAAGGCGTTCTACTACAAGAGTTTTTTAGCTGAGCGATTCTTCGAATGCGGAGTGGACAGCTTCAGGTAAGTGTTCTATCTTTGACCGCCTTATTAATTGATTATGAAGTCTCCGATGAGTTCATTTATGAGTTAAACATGCTTCCCTGGGTAAACCACGGCCAAATCATGGCCAAACCATGGCCAAATCATGGCCAAACCATGGCCAAATCATGGCCAAACCATGGCCAAATCATGGCCAAACCATGGCCAAATCATGGCCAAACCATGGCCAAATTATGGCCAAACCATGACAAATCATGGCAAAATCGTGGCTTAAACATGGCTAAATCAAAGCCAAATTATGTTTAAAAGAGAAACCACCAATTGAACTGCGCCAGTAAAAAAAACAACAAACATTGCAAATCCCATCTACATGCATAGGAGGCAAAATGATCAATAAATTGATCGTGGGCCCTTAAGATATAGAAGAAGAAGATCCAAAATCGTGCAGTCGGTGGTACCATTTCGTAACTTTCCATTCATTATCTTTTAATGAATTTTTTGTTTGTTTTTTGTTTTACTCTCTGTGGATGTCTCCTTGAACTTTTAAAACTGATTAAGGTCAAAGTATAGTGACTTACATGAACTTGGCTGTAAGAGTCTCTAAGAAGTACAGTTAACCCCTTAAGGAGTACATGTTTCCTGTCCCATGGACTCCTGACTCCACTATGTCCATCTCAGATTTCTCTACATTTTTTTTTATTAATTAAAAAGGCATTGGTGACAACTTGAGGCCGAAATTGAGTGCAATGCCCTGTGCATTACATTAACTATTAAATTTTTTTTTCTCCCAACCCAGCACCTTGTATATTCCATTTCTCATGGCCTTTCCACAGCCCGGCGTCCAATATTCTTGGAAGTGGCTCTGCGCTAAGCCGGCCAAGCTGTAAGAAAACAAATCAAGCTTCCAGGAATATGCGGACCGTTCAATAACATGTTCTCTTTCCCGACTCGTCCTGGCACAATCCCTCTATCCACGAAAAGCACGTGAAGTGGCTTTGATCACAAGAGATTTTCCGCGGGTGCAATTTGCTTCTGATGATATTTTTTTTTTCTTTTCTTTCTCAATGTAATCCCAATAACACCGTCAAGAATGACCAGATCAATACGTGCACCCTGCGACCCCCGCAAATGTCTGTGACCCCCCGCAACAGTCTTGTGACCCCCCCGCAAAAGTCTGTGACCCCCCACAGCTGTCTGCAATCCCAACAATTGTCTGGGACCTACNCCCCCCCCCCCCCACAACTGCCTGTGACCCCTACAACTGTTTGGGACCCCTCTTCTGTCTGGGACACACCTTCTTGTTTAAGATAACCATATTCTTGCCTTGCTATTGTTTTGTTGCAAGAAATTTAACTGGAAATGGAAAATTGAAATCAAGAATATCCCCACCCCCCAACCCCTTTTTTTTTCCTTCCCTTGAAAAATATCAGGGGGCACTGTAAGAATAAGTTAATTTCTTGAATATCTCCATGCATTTTTACCTCAATCCTATTTATAGAGGACAATCAGAGCAAACCAATAATAAAGTAAAACTACAATCAGACAATTAAACTTGGAAGTCTTAGAGCGTCCAGGCAACCTTAACAAATTATATATAAATATTTATATCCCTGTGATCAGGGGGGGGGGGTTCGTTCGCAGGAGGAAATAAATAAGAAACTAGTTTTAAAGTAAGTTTTATTTTTAATGGGTGTCATTGTAAAGGTTGAAAAAACTGATACTACTCCATCTATTTTAAAAGTATCTTGTCTTATAATATCAATATTTTAAACATTTAGGGTTTCGTTTCTTCTTTATAATGGGGGCGGGGGGGGGGGCGCGGCTCAAAAATAAAAATTGTGAGAACCAGTGGTTCAAACTTTACTTTATTTTCCCACAGTGACAATCCAGTAAAGATCCACTTCTACACCGTGTTCCACGGCACATCCCTCGACGGCCTGGTCGACTCCACCGTGCCCCTCATCCGAAGGTTCGCTCAGCCCGTCTACTACCTCACGTACCTGACCTACCTGGTCGGGGACGTCCTGGTCCTGCCCGAGGACGCGCCGGTCCACCCGTCCGTCTACCCGATCAACATCACCCTCCTGCCGACGAGCACCGCGCACGCGGAC